TATAATCCAATACCTAGCCCACATCACCCAAATATAGTTGTTCAAATCAAACACACAAAATAATGGCTGTTTGGTACAAGCTATTTGTGCGAACACACGTTTTCACTAATGGAACTAAGAAACAATTGTCTTTGTAATAGGCTTTCGGATGACCACCTTTCTTCACTGCTGAAAATTCCAGCATCACAAATGGAGAGCAGGCGTATGATGAAATTATAAAGAAACTAAAACAGTTCCACAGGTTACATGTCTCCACGAAGACCAACGCACCTCAACCTTTTATACATTGCAGCTAATTCAAAATAAATGTTTAGTTTATTTTCAATTTAGAAATTAATAGCGAAGAAGACACGCGGAGCACGAAGCATAACAAAGAAGAAGAAGGGAAGACCACGGAAGAAATGGATACAACAAATAACAGAGGCACGAAGAAAAAGAGAGAAGTCGTTGAGGGAGATAAACATACTGACAGAAAATATGAAATCATGGAAACAATGGGTAAATGACACAACAGAAAATTATAGCCCAATTCCGACGCCCAAGAGGGTAAATGGAAGGGGAGAAAGAAAGAAAGAAAGAGAGAAAGAATTTATTTTTTAATATTGCACAATAAATTATTTTTCATTTGACTCGGCTGTTACTTGATGGAAATCCATAGGAAATGTGAAAAACTTCACAAACGATAAGGTTTTCACAAAATATTGCATTTTGGAAAAAAGTTGTATTCAATGCACATATTTTGGTTTGTTATCAAGCAACGAAGGATGGATTCAAAGTACCATCAGGTGGCCAAAAGTAGTCATAGCAATTTTGAGGAAGTCTTATCGTTTGTGAAGTTTTTCACAAAAAATAAGTGTTTCAGGAAATACATATCAATATTTTTATTTTAGTGATAGCCAAAAATGGCCCGCCATATCTATATTCCGTTAGTAAATATTGACACGCCAAGAAAAAAGTTTCCCCATCCCTGTAATAGTAAGGTATATTCGTGATGTAAATTCGTGTGAATTGGTGATAAATATCAAAATGTTTCAGTAGGTACAATAAATTATCTTCATTTAGGCCAATCCCTCAGTTGCGAAAGACAGCGATTCAAGAAATTCCATTTTAAAAATAAACTGTCCCAGTTTTTCCAAGTTCTAATCCTATATACCTCCTAGAATATCTATTAATAAGAACAAGTTATTACATCTACGACCATGTTTATTCACCTTTATGATTTTTGAGTATACATGGTGTGAATAGAAAATTGCGAAAAAGGGATGGAGCTGGTTCTTTGTCTTATGTCAACTTGTTCGTTTTTGAGATACAGGATGTTGAGGTTGGAAGATTACGCCAGTCGGGCAACCAGCCACTCCCATATGGAAATTTCAGTTTTGGAGTGATTCTTTCCTCTGTTCTACTCAGGTGGCGTTACTTTCATTTTGTCTATGAAAGGCGCCTCGGGGGAAATAATAATGCCGACTTGATTTTTGTTTGGCTAGGCTTCGGTGAGTCGGCGGTCTTAGGACTGCTGGCTGGAGACTACACTGCACTTATGAGAGTCAAAGAGTTCGAAACCGGTCTGTGGTTGTCTAGCGTGGCCTGGCTAAATCGAAATCAATGGGCATTCAGGAAAGAATCACTTGTATCAGTATTGGTTTATACGAGTCGATGTATAGATTTCGGGAGGATGTAATTCAATGTTCTGCGTGGCATTAGCCAGGAAAGTAGTTGTTTTTCTCTCGAAATCTACCATTGTTGTTCATTTCATGAACATTGTGTGGACTTTGAGCTTTTTGTATTTAGATACAAGATCCTATATACCTGGAAAGAGTGGTATCCCCTGGGGTGCTATTTTTAAACTTGAACGAAGATTTTCGTATGCCAGTTATCGTATGCGGAATATTTCCGGTTATCTTTAGATTTGTCGATTTTCAAACGGCAATCGAATGTAATTTTTCGACATGTTGATGTGGCAACGTTTAATTATCCAGTTTTTTATGGTTCTTACTGTTGATTTGAGAGGGTGAGGTTATGTTTTAGTATTTATTTTATTATTTTAAGAACAAAACATGAATAAGCGTATAGGAAATTTGTCAAGTGCTCAAAAAACAGAGTTATTAGAATTCATGGAAAGATCTGGCCATGCAGAAAGTCAAATTTACAAATGAATTCACATTTAAAAAGGAACAGGAGTTACCTATAGATAGAACTCTTTCCCAGGGGCTCATAAAGATTGGAGACAGTGCGTTGGAAGGCAAGTTTCATTCATATTGAAATGTTTACTGTCTATCTCTAGTAAGTGTGTTTGATTGTAAGCTTGGCAAGATATGAAAGTACCCGCCAGAAAAAAAACAGTCAAATTAAGATTTTGCAAAGAGATACTGGAGGTGGCAGTCCATCAATTCTACCCCCATTAAATGGAAATGAAGTAGCCTCGGAAGTAGCCATTGTTCAAATGATTGGAACAGCTGCGACAGAAGGGCATCCAGGAGTTTTGGAATCGGATACTGTATTGGAAAGTGTAACCCCTGAAGAAATGAAAATTCCTTCAATTCAGGATAATATGCTCAGTAAAATTTGTAAAATTTGTATATCGCTACTTCAAAGTTGGGAACCAACTCCCCAGAAGTCGAAACTTGTGCGGGGTTAGGAAGAGTGGGACCTACAGCTTATAGTGGAATCCGAACCACTTCTGGGGCATCGAGGTGCTGCCAGGATTACAACCATGAATCACACATTTTAAAGAAAAATGCTCAGCCGATAGCCGGATTCGAACAGACAGTACCTCTGCATCGTGAACGGCTATCTAGCGAATTTCATCGCATAGACAAACTCGGCCACGGAGCCCACATTAGTGGTTGATAAAAATTCGAATAATAAAGAAAATGAAAAAGTATCAGACCAAAATTCACCCACCCAAGTTATACAATTAGAAACCAAATAGTGCGGCAAATAATAAGCTAGAATATTTCAATGTGTACTTTTTGATAAATGCACCAAACTTCACACATATGTAGACCAATAAAATATTAATTGTATGAATGTAATTTTTGCAAATATTGTGATTTTTTGTTCTGTTCACTGATTCATTTGTTTCTTATATAAATTGTTGTTGAAGTTTGAAGATATTTCGTTTGTGTTCATAGATTATTGTTATTATAAGAATATAAGGTTTTTGATCAATCTGTTTTGTTTTACGTCGTTCAGATCATCCATATCGTTTGATTCAAATTCGAGTTCAATTTTAACTTATCGAAAGTATGTCCTACCCCCCATTGTAACATTTCGTTATTAAAAATCGTGGAGATGACTTGAAAATTTTCCTCCTTTCAATTATCGAAAGTGTTTTTCATCCGTTTTCAATTTTTGTTCATCCTCTTTCTCATGATTTCGCATGCGAACTCTCGTTCCGCATGGGTTTGACAATGCGATTCATTTCGACGGAGAAAAACCGGATACGAAAATTACTCATCTATTCCAAAATACAGATATCACAATTTCACCTGAAAATTTGATATATTCCTATGCGAAACTCATTCGCCATATATGTTCGAAAATAGCACCCCTGGTACATTTCTGCTGCTATGGACCCACCAATTGACGTCTTAGTTCTGAATAGATGTTGATTTTTTTTATATTTCTGAATGAAAATCATGCATGTTATTTACTGAAAAATGTTGTCTGTGCCTTATTTTCTTTCAATTTTAGTTTTTAAACTTATATTTTCCATTTTCTTGAAATCCGTCCGAATGGACTATTGCCGTTCTTTCCCTGTACCCTTATTTTTTGTTGTTGATTGATTTGTGAAGGGCAATCAATCCTGACTTCAACGATTTTTGTATTGTTGAATATGAGGATACTTAGGACTAACTATATAAATGATCTATGCAACTATTCTGTCTTATGTGCCATTTTGTAGCATTATTATAAAATCTTGTTTATTAAAAACCTTTTTTTTTCTGTGACGGGAAAACATTTTGGCATTTCATCTCTGTTGGCAGGTTATAAAATGTCACTTTTCAGAAATCATTTTTTTCCCGGATATATATCACATATATATACACTGTTAATGGCTTTTGTTGTGCTATAGTTCCGAAAAATGAGTCAATAATATTGTCTCCGAGAAAGAACTGCAAGTCCTTTTATCTTCCATTCGACTTCGCGGTTCGATATTACTAAACGACCCCCAAATTCGCAATATTTGATTACTTCAAAAAAATGATAAAGATGCCTACAACGCAGGTGTCCCCCCTACTGTTAAAAACTTAAAATTTCACGTCGATAATTTTCAGATTCCAATATAATGATTATAATGTAATATCTTCTCAATATTGATTCGTCCTTTCTTCTGTCACAGAAAAAAATAGTGTATTATAACGGGAAAAATATTAGATTTTAGATCACGGTTTTTTGTATAATAAATAAACTATTTTTATGAATATAATGGACGAAAACACTGGTAGGAAGAACATTGTACCAAACTCTTGCGGAAAAGTACTACTTTCCGTACTTGTTAGGTGAATAACTATGATTTATTGGTCGTAAAAGAAATAATGTATACAACGAACATTTAATGACTACTAATACACTCGCATGATCGTATCATAAAATACTAATTAAGAACATCCATTACAGATCCTGGATATCTTATGACTGTCCATTTCCTGTGTTATGCGTGTAAAGCTCTCGAGCGTTTTTCGGGATTATTATTTATTTTCACTCATGATGAGATTTGATGATGAGATGAGATTTTCAAAATACAAGGTATTCTCGATGAAAGTATGAAGAAAATGATTATCGGGGGTCAATGTTAGTTGACCGAAAGTCTATTCGTCGAAAGTCAATTCGTCGAAAGTCAATTCGTCGAAAGTCAATTCGTCGAAGTCAATTCGTCGAAGTCAATTCGTCGAAAGTCAAACCAATTGGCCGAATACGTCACTTGGACTAAATTTGGTCAATTCGTCGAGTTTCATAATATGTCACCTGATTGTCAAGTGAATAGTCTTGAATGCAGAATGGCGTGTTTCATGCAAATTGAAAAATTGAAGAAGAAGCTATACTTCGAAGGCTATATGTATGTACGAGATTCAGAAAGGAATGAAAAAACTTATTGGAGATGTGAGTTTAAGAAAACTTGCAAAGGAAGAGCACATACAATGATTTCTGCTATAGACGGAGACGAGGTATACACGAGAGGTGAGCATTCACACCAACCAGATGCTCGTAGAAAAGAAGTTATAGGAGCATCAAATCTTCTCAGGAAAAGTGCAAGAGAAACGTTGAATCCAACAAGCCATATTGTGCAGGACATAATGAATTCTGTGACTCTTGAGACGGCTGCGATTTTACCATCAACTTCATTGATGAAAAGAACCGTTCTGAGAGAGAAGCAGGAACAAATTGCCTCTTCCAACATCGAATGATTTCGTTGACCCGATGAATACAAAACAACTTGGAGCGATGATAATTTCCTAGTGCAGGATTTTAGAGAAAATGGCGAGAGGATATTGATTTTTGCAACACGAAAAAATTTGGAAGTACTTCAAAAAGCTCATGTATGGTTTGCAGACGGAACTTTCAAGGTAGTACCGAAAATTTTTAGACAGCTTTATACGATTCATGCATTTGTGAAGTGATTGTTTGTCCCATTGATATACGCACTTTTATCCAGTAAGAAGAAACAAACATACATGACTATGTTATAGATATTTTGAAGCAACAAGATTTTCCGAATCTACCGTCTATCATATGTGATTTTGAAATCAGAATGTTTATAAGAACATACAGAAAATTGGACTACAAAGTATGTATGCCAATGACATGCAGTTCGCAATGAAAGTCAAAATGATGACGGCTCTGGCTTTCGTTCCATGTGAACATGTTATAAGATATTTCGAATGTCTTTCCGAAGTTTTTCCTCCAGAAGTTTTCGCAGTTTTAGACTACTTCGAGGATACATATATAGGTCGTTTACGAGGAAGACGACGTGGAAAACCAATTTTTGCCATTGATGTTTGGAACGTATATGAACGAGTCAAGAATGATCTGCCTAGATCGAATAATGCTCAAGAAGCATGGCATAGAAGATTTGGAAGTTTGATTTCTTGTAGTAATCCTTCCATATGGTATATACTGAATGGTATAAGAAAAGAACAACAATATTTTGAACGTAAAATAGAACAGACGTTGGCTGGAAATGACGAGAAACGTATGAAAATATATGTCGATCTAGACAAGAGAGTCAAATCTGTTGTAGATGAGTTTGAAAATACTGAACCTGTCGATTACTTGAGAAGTATTGCTCATAATCTAAAATAATTTATTATTGATCAATATTTATAGAAATAATAGAATGTATCGAATCGTTGAATGATTAAAAAATAAAGTGTAACAAAAGCTGGCATGTTCATTAATTTTATAATATTTCCCATATAATGTTATAGAAGACGCATCAGTTTGAGGCTAGTGATGGGGATTTTATTAGGGTTCTTGACCCTTCTTCTCACTTCAGCGATGAAATAAGAAAAGAGACTCAACACTGACGGAAGTAATAATGGAAACCCGAATAATATCTTCGCTTATTCAAGAATCGAGTGAGAAATATGGATTCCCAAAAAAAAATTCGGCCAATTTAGTCCAACTGACGTATTCTTACAATTATCCCGATTATCGGGTATTTGTTATGGTCTTAAGATATAACTCACCTCTACGAAGGTTACATACAAATTTTCAACCACATCAAAGGGATACACTAGTGACTCTGTTCTCTTGAAGAAAGTGGTCATTCATTTTCTGCTTCTCCTGCGAAATTTGATAGATCTATATGGGTACTGGAATTCGACATTAAAACCTTGTTCGATTAATTATACTTATTAGTAGAAATGATTTTATATATTTTTGTTAAACGTATCTCCCTATAGATTTTAAAAATCCTTGAATGGCTTGAAATGACGATCCTCTAAGAAGTATTGACCACACCAAATTTCAAAACGATATCTTGAAAAGTAAGCGAGATATTTCAATTAATAGAAAAAAATAATTAAACTTTGACCCTCTGTAGCTCCGCTAATGAACGAGATCGGACTCATGTTTATATGAACTTTCTTGATCAAAATGATGAGATGTATCTCCCATTTCAGTTTGTGCCTTGAAACCTGAATCACCCTGTAGATTGGACGACTATGCGAAACTATTATCAAACTGAGATTTTGAATATCAAGAATGAGAAGAGATTTGGGAATCATCCACATTATGATAATGACATATTTTTGACAGATTATTTTGCGAAGAGACGAGTCAGATTGATAGAACCCTAAGTATTTTGTTTTTTTTCTGTGAAGGAAAAAAGTTTGAAATTTCATCTCTGCTTACAGGTTATAAAATGTCACTTTTCATAAATTTCATTTTTTCCACGAAAAGTATAGTTATTTATTATACAAGGGAAAAAAGTAGTAGATTTTAGCTCCAGGTTGTGTTGTCTCCCGACGCGTAGCGGAGGGAGACAAAAAACCGTGAGCTAAAATCTAATATTTTTCCCGTGTATAATACACTATTTTTTTCTGTGACAGAAGGAAGGACGAATCAATACTGGGAAGATATTACATTATTTCGAAATCTGAAAATTATCGACGTGAAATTTCAAGTTTTTAACAGTAGGGACACCTGCGTTTTATAGACATCTTCATCATTCTTTTGAAGTAATCAAATATCTGATGTCACTTCTGTCAGTTCAATTCTGTGATTTGATTTTGAAAAATTGCGAATTCAGTAGTTGTTTAGTAATATACGAAACCGCGAAGTCGAATGGAAGATAAAAGGACTTGCAGTTCTTTCTCGGAGACGGTATTATTGACTTATTTTTCGGAACTATAGCACAACAAAAGCCATTAACAGAGTATATACATGTGATATATATCCGGGAAAGAAGTACTCACTTTTTTCCCACGGGAAAAAAGTAATTTATGAAAAGTGACATTTTATAACCTGCCAACAGAGATGAAATGCCAAACTTTTTTCCCGTCACAGAAAAAAGTACTTTATCTACAACTATGGAGTCATTCTTATACATTGCTAACTAGATTTTCAATATTTAATGACTGACATTATTGTGATGAATCGAGTAATTCAAAAATAACATTCAATATTATATGACCTTGCCGCAGGCAGTATAAACTATTGACGCGTTTATAATAATCAATTTGTAATTCAGTAGTGAAAGTGATTCTTTGAGTGACGATAATAGAAGCTTGCCTCCAAGCGATAATCTCACTCACCGAAATACATAAATATGCATTTTTTCTGAAACCTGCTTTAAAGTTCCAAAGTCATCATTTCTTATATAACATAATCTGTAAAATAAATTAGTTTATTCTTTATGAAATCCTTGTATTTAATAACAATCCAACAATATTCACCCTATTTGACATATTCGACTGCCTCAGAGATCCAGACGACTTTTGCAGGGTATTATCTTCCTTATTTTTTAATATACAGGATTGTTTGGGTGAGATATGACCCTATTGGGCTGGTACTGATTTTTTAAAGTTTTTTCTATTGCTGATGAGTTCAACATAATTTATGAGAATAATAAATATCCCAAATTCATATATATATTTTCATTTTCTTTTGTCCTCGAGCTTTGCCTGATCCCTTTGTTCCTCCATTTGTTGTACGGCATACCTATTCTCTTCTCTTCTTCCATAAACTTATACCTATGTCCTGAATTTTTAACAGATACTTATTTTTCCACATCCATAGCAATTGAATTTCACTTGAGGAGTGCCGTTGATATTGTGGGGTTTTCTTTGAAATACGAATATATTTCCTATATTTTCCAATTTTTCGTCGAATAATTTCCTTTTCATAAATTCCATGGTTTATTGTTCGTCAGGATTTGTTTCTATATCAAAACTTCGAGGTGAAGTTATGGAAATAAATGACAAACTGCCACGATATTTTAGGTATCTGACAATAATTGAATATGAAATCTCATACGCATTGGCGTTCTAAGAATATAATAGAGTGTCTTTTGAGAAACAGAAGTTTGTTTCAGTTCCGGGAATGAGACTCATCATACGAATATGTTCAAAAGTATCATTTCTTCTATACATTATGTCACGTAAATTTGATAATACATTGGTAATACATTTGGTATTACATGAACTTGAGACGTTACAGAGGAGGTTATATATACCCTAATAGCACACAAGGTCTTAGGGACGTCCCTATTTGGTACAATTCACGTCCGAATGTCCCGAACCAGAAATAAGTGTCCTTGGGACGTCCCATCCCGTACATCTCATGAAATGTCGGAGCAAGGACGTCCTTGGCATGTCCCTGATGGGATATGATTTCAAACGTTTCTTTAAGGACATCCATCGGATGTCCCGAGTAGTAGTACATATTCTGGCATGACTTCAGATCTTATGTAATGTACCTTCTAGAAAACCATGCAATGTCCCTGATGGTACATTCCTTCGAATATCCCTGCACAGACGCCCTTAATATTTCCAGGATCGTATGACAATCGAAATGTCCCTTAGAAATATCTGTCGGATGTCCCAATTGGTACATGAACTGTACTCTTCCAATGTCCTAGAAATATTGTCCTATGGACGTCCCAGTCGGTACTTTCAATATGTTGTCCCTGCGAGGACGTTAACTTACACCTCGCCGACGAATGATTGCTCGTAGGCTATAAGTACTCCTCGTCAATGCCCTTCACGTAAGTCCATTGGACATCCTTGGGAAACTTTTTGGGGACCTTCTATGGACCTTCAACTCAACTGGATGTCCTAATCAATTATGCAAGCTCTGGCCCTAGAGGGACCCTGAAAAATTCAAATTCAAGAATAATTCGTACGTCCCTGGGACATCTTATGGACATCCAATTGATATCCCTAGCGTTGCTGATAGGTTGTCCTATGGATGTCCTAAGGATGTCCTCTGTAGTGCTTGATGAAGAATATTGTAGGATTTAGGTATTCGATAGTCGTCCCAGGGACATCCCTCAAGGACGTCCCTAGTTGGTCCACCAAATTCGAACGTCCTATGGACGTCCTGAATGTCCCGACAGGACGTCCCAAGGATATCCATGGGACATAAGTGTGTTATTACTGTACCTATATCTTCTCCTGGGTTCGATTATATTCATTCTAGAAGTGCAAGAAAAAGTTGTAGTATATAACATCATGAAAAACTACAACTACTTCGGGTGAATTATTGGACAAAGTATTTACTATACCTACATAAATAGTTATTTTTGTATCTAGTGCATGGTTTACAAACGTCAAAAAATGAGCAGGTTCGCACATTGATGACAATTTGCGAAGTGACACTTCCTTTCACTTTCCTACGTTACCACTACACCATGTGCGAAGCAGTGCGCGAAGTAAATCTATGCGCGAAGTACAAACTTCGCGCATTGTATATGTAAACTATATGAGATTTTTGTATTTATAAGCGAGCGAACATCCAAGGAATAAGTTATTTCTGGATGTTTAACAATAATTAAGG